AGGCTGATCAGGAGTTGGGCGCCTTCCCTGTCATGAACAGAGCAGGGCAGTTAGGGAGGTTGTGGCCCCACCCCTGTCACACACAGAGTCGCAGGGCGATCAGGGGGTTTTGGCACTGCCCCCTGTCACGCTGATCCCAGTGCCAGGAGGCATATTACCCTTTTACTATATAGAATAGAGGCCTGGTGCATGGGTGGGGGCTGGCTGGTTTGCCCTGAAGGGTGTCCTGGATCAGGGTGGGGGTCCCCACTGGGGTGCCTGGCCAGCCTGGATGAGGGGCTGAGGGCCATTTTCAGGCTGGCGGGTGACTAAAGCTCCCAATCGCTCCTTTTTTTCTTTTTTTTTTTTATTCTGGGCTAGCTTTAGCTCTGAGGCCTCTGCTGCTTTGTTTACCTTCTGTATTTGATAAAATGTTGCGGTCCGGCAGGTTTCTGGGGTTTTGTTTAGCTTCTATATTTGCAACATAGTTGCTTAGAGTTGCAGCTGAGAGGCCGGCAAGTCAGGCGGGGAACGTTGGAGTCCGCAGTCACTGGAGCAAGCAAGCCTCCCTGTTCGCTTCAGTGCATGGCTGCCAGCCGCCATCTTGGTTGGCAGTTAATTTGCATATCGCCCTGATTAGCCAATGGGAAGGGTAGCGGATGTATGGCTAATTACCATGTCTCTCTTTTATTAGATAGGATACCTGTCTTAGTAATCAATAGAATAAACAGACAATTTTTTGCATTTGTCAGGATAACTATATGACTTTTAAATCTGACCTAATAAAGTAATAATTTTATACATTAAAAAAAATTAACTTCTGTACTTATCTAAAGAATCCCTACTTGGTTTTGGTTATTTTTCTTTTCCCTCTTCCCTTTAAAATATTTTCCTTTATTATCCTAACATTTTTAGTGAATTTTATGCACACTTTTTTCCTTTCTCCATGTTTATACTCAGTAAGAAATTCAGTATTTCTATTTTAGCACCTTCCTATCTATTGTTTACTTTGAATGAGGAAAATACATTCTATTACTTAAAAAAAATACGTACAAATACATTTAAAAAAAGTATAGGACTTAAATTATTTAAAATTATGTATGGTAAAATATTGGAAGTGATGTAGTCATTACTAATTGATGAGATTATTTTTATTTTTAAAATCTAGGATCTTCTCAATAATTTTATCAAGACAACTGAAAGTAATATAATGAAGCAGTCCATTTGTAGTTATCTAGATTGTGAACGATCTTGTGAAGCTGACATTTTAAGGAACACCAATTATAAGGTACTATAATTATCAGTTAACTGAATATTTAAAAAATAAACTTAGATAAAAATTATTGTATTATGCATCAAAATAGTATTTCAAAAGAGTACTTATTTTAATAACAGTGATAATGCAGTTGAGAAATTGTTTGAGTATCTAAGAATTTAGAATTTTTTTTTCTTTTTTTTTTTTAAATATATTTTTTATTGATTTTTTACAGAGAGGAAGGGAGAGAGAGAGTTAGAAACATCGATGAGAGAGAAACATCGATCAGCTGCCTCCCGCACATCTCCTACTGGGGATGTGCCCTCAACCCAGGTACATGCCCTTGACAGGAATTGAACCTGGGACCTTTCAGTCCACAGGCTGACGCTCTATCCACCGAGCCAAACCGGTTTTGGCGAGTTTAGAATTTTAATGACCTGGAATTAATTTATACCCTGTCAGTCAATAAAAGAATGAATTGGTTTTGCTAAGGGTTTTGTAACAGTCACATGTCTCTGAAGTTATAATTAATATTTCTGCTATCATAGAGTAGAAATTATCTAAAATATTCTTTATAGTTAGAAATGTTATTTTATTGTCATTTATCTAAAATTTATTTTACTAAGGAGAAAGATTGTCACTCCTCAAGATTTATGTTACCAAGTAAGTGATCATTATTTTTGCTCTGGGCCTTGAGGGAGAAAAAATCATAACCAGCCTTAATTTGAAGAAATTCAACAATCAAAGTACTTCAAGTCTGGTTCCCAGTAGATATGGCAGAATAAGACTGGGAAATCACAAGATAAAATGAGATGTGATTATCAGTGCAAATCTAATACCACTTCTATAAAATAATGGAAATCTCAATTGAAAGGCATGGGCATCCAGAAAGAAGCATGTAGCAGGGAGGGCTGCCTAAAAAACATCTGTTTGTGAGAATGACAGTTGAGAATGCTTTTAATGTGTGTTTTTGTTTTTGTAAAAAGGAAAACTCAGAAAGACCAAAAGAATACATTTTATGTTTTTTTAAAATAAAGATGGCTATTATAATGGGGGGGAAAAAAGAATGGCATGATGTGTATAGCAAATGGGGTAAGTAGGGAGGAAGAAAAAGCCAAGATCTATTCATTAGGGTAAGTTAGGAATTAGGGAAGTAGACCTGGTGAAGAACAGTGCTTATGATGGGCAATTTCAGTCTTGGTGTAGATGACATGGTGGTATGGTTATGGTTTCCCAGGGAGGTAATAGCGTTCCAATCACATACATAGCATGTAGCAGCAGGAAGTCCTGGCCACAAAATTTAGATTTTTGTCATCCAAGCAATCTACCCCCTAAAGGAAGCATAACTATAGTTCCAGGGAGGACACAATGGGAAGGACAAAAAACTTGTGAAGTTAAAAGTGACTTAAAGTGATATTTCTATTTATATATGATATTCTATTTCCAGATCAACAACTTATTTTCATTCTTTTCCAGGGATTTTTTCAATTAATGTGCAGTAAAAGTTGCTGTGTCTATTTTCATAAAATTTGTTGGAAAAAGTTCAAGAATTTAAAATATCCAGGTGAAAATGATCAGGTATTTCATTTTTCCTTAAAAACTTTACTACAACATTTCTTCCTCTACCCTTTCCTCTTTTTTTCTCCCTTTTTTTCTTTTCTTCCTGTTAATATCCTTCCTCCTCTATTTTACCTCTGTTTGTTTTTTTTCCCTTATTTTTTCTGATGCTTTTCTCCTTACTATTCTTTGTTCATTATCACCATTTATTAAACAGATCTTCGTAGGGGATACTCTGCTTGTTGCTTTGCTTAGTGATTCCTATCTATTTCCCTATGGAAGTTTATACTCTTAAGAATATAAATATTGTTGCATATATTTATATAAAAGTCATAAAATCAAAGAATAGAATTGCTTAATAAACAAACAGAAAGGACAGTTATACAATTTTAATGATAGTTTCTATTTTAAGGATAGAGAACAATGATAAATTTTATAGTCTTCAAAAATCTATTTCTGATTATGTATATTTACCTAAAGTCATATAACTAAATTGATTTCTTTGCCACTAAAATTAAAGTAAAAGTATAAAGCCCAATTCTATATTAATTATTCTTTGGTGAGTTGATTACCATAAGTTAGGTTTATGGTATTTGGCCAGAGTGTTTACATTGTGTACACAGAAAACCCAATAAAAAAAATTGTGGCATAATTTGTAACAGCATGGATGGAACTGGAGAGCATTATGCTAAGTGAAATAAGCCAGTCAATGAAGGAAAAATACCACATGATCTCACTCATTTATGGATAATAAAGTCCATTATAGACTTATGAACAAAAATAGACACAGAGGCAGAGCAGCCTCGAACAGACTGTCAAACTACAGCGGGAAGGCTGGGAGGGTTGGGGAGCAGGAGGGGGTGGTAAGAGATCAACCGAAGGACTTGTATGCATGCATATAAGCATAACCAATGGACATAAGACACTGAGGGATAGGGGAGGCCAGGGGATTGTCAAGGGCGGGGGAAAAAAAGGAGACATATGTAATACTCTTTGTAATACTTTAAGCAATAAAACAATTTTAAAAAAATCATGGCATAGAAAGAGCATTGTGTATGGACTTGGGAGATCTGGGTTTAAGTCCAGATTGAACCACTGTAGTGTTTTCTTTGTTTTTTTGTTTGTTTTGTTTTACATTAGGCTGTTAATTTAACTGCTCTGAGATTCATTTTTCTAAACCATATAGTGAGGATACTAATATCTTCATAAGGTTCTTGTGAAGATTAACAATTAAAACATGTACTTGCATTAGCATTATTCATTTGTTTAAGTAGCATGTGTTCTTTATAATCTTTGATTGTTAGGGCAATCAGTATTGCTCAACTTTAGAAAAAGAACTAGAAGAAAATTTAAGTGACTTAACGAGGAAATTAAGGTCAGAATCAGAGGAAATACTCAACATTTTAATTCTTTCATTTTTCCCTGTAATCCTTATATATCTAATAGAAATTCAGTGTTTCTTTATACATTTACCTAATTAGTACATGTCACTTGAAGTTCCTTTCCCTGTGCTTAGGTACTACTTCTTAGGCTATAATATAGCTACTTAAAGATTTTGAAGTAGAAATTATTAGAGAAAAGTGCAATTATGCATTTTAAATCCACTGATACATGAGATAGACTATTTTTGAACAGCTAACTCTCAAGTGTTTTTTCACATCTTTTGTTTTATCATCTAGAAACATCTAACTTTTTAAAAAAATAATTAGATTTGCACATCAGTATTTTTTTATTGATTGTAATGTTTTTTGTTTTGATAATTTATTTTTTTCTATTTGATAACTTTAGAGTTTTAGTGGGAAAAAATGTTTGAAGGAAGGATGTACAGGTGACATGGTAAGGATGCTACAATGTGATGAACCTGGAATTGTTAAAATTTTGGTAAGTATCTTTTTCTTATTTTTCTTTCATTGGAATGGCATTCGGATTTCAAAACATTTGGGATTCATAGCAATAGTATTTTTGCCATTTTCTCTTTAATGGTGACTTAATTTCTGACCTTTCTGTTGCTTTGATTTTTCCAAAGTAGTATTTAAGTGATCCTTAAGAATAAGAAAATTTAAAAAGTAAAGATACATACAGACACATATAAAGTAGGCTATGCCTGTACCAATGAGAAGTCTGTCATGAACCAGTGATGATAGTCTGATCTGTGCCATCTAAGTTTAAAAATACTTTTAGACTTTTTGACCCTCTTTCATATCTTTCTACGAAAATATCTATAGAAATTACATATAGTACATGTTACATAAAATGTTCTCAAATGATACTCATTTTATTTTTAAATAAATGAAATGCTTGAATTTTCAGTTTATAAATAGACCAAAATTTCAAATAAAAATAGATATTATTTCTTTATCTTTAGTAACACTCTTTTTGTATTTCATACTGATATTTAAATCCTGTAGTGATGTAAAGTAGAATTTTTTTTAAAAAATCAACTCTAGTTTATTGTTTATTAAAGTTGTTTATAGCTTACCTTGTCACTTCTGTGTTGTTTATATTTGCTATAGCTTCATTCTCATTGTCTTTTTTCAACTGTTAAGGCTAACTAGTAATATTAAAGAATTTTGAAAATTGAACTATTTAGGGCTATTTTTTTCCATCACTTGCAGTTTGAAGTTGTGAGAAAGGATGAATATATAACCATTGAAAATTTAGGAGCAAGGTAAGCTTGAAATAAAATATTTTATGTTTTTTTCTGAGCATGTATATATATTTTAGTTGCTTCTTTCTTCTGTGTTTCTGTCACTTGGAACTCCATTAAATTTAAAGGTAATATTAATTGTGTGAAAAAATTATATTTAACTGACATTTATGACCCTCTTTTTTTTTCCCTACTTTGTAGACATTTAAATTTTAAAGCAGGAAAGGAGATATTATGTGAATACTTTTTTCCTTAAATATGAAAATAATCTTTTACTGAAGCCAACATATTTTTCTTACAGTTATTTACTTGGTTTTATAAAAACTTTCTCCTAACTTTCAAAACTCATTCAGGCCTCTAAGCTTATGTGGCAACTAGAGGCCTGGTACACGAATCCATGCAAGGTGGAGTCCCTCAGCCTGGCCAGCCAAGCAAGGCTGGGAGTAGCGGGGGGTGGGGATGAGCTGCAGGAGGTTGGCTGGCCGGCCCTGCCCCTGATTGGGGCCCATCAGGGCTGGGGCAGCAGACAGGAGGATGTTGACAATTAGAATTATCCTGTTGCTTAGATGAGAAAACTATATTACAGAGGCCTATCTAGTGTAAGCTGGGAATTTATATAATGTTGCCATTGTAATTAGAAATTCCAATATAAAAAGTTCTCTTAACCCATTGTTTCTCTTTTTTGTGTAAAGTGTTAATGTCTCCTATTTTCCAATCTACCAAGGACATTTCATCGATATCGTTTATGAGCTAATGAAACCCAAATCTTTATCTCCAGCATAGATTTCACTCATAAAATGTAGGTTTATCTACCTGGACACTGAAAATAACTACTTTTATGTTTCAAATGATCTTTAGTTCAGCATCACTACAACTGGATTTATAATCTTTCTTCCCAACACTGCTCTGTAACATTTTTAAGTCCAGTCAATTCAACTTTTTAAATATATTGTAAATGCCTCCTTACTTCTGCCTCTGTTCTTCCACTAAACCAGATGAAGTATTATTTCTCACTTGAAATTCTGAAAACATCTTCTAAACTTGTATTTCTTTCCTTTCTTCAGTCTATTTACAGAGCCACGAGAGCACTTTTCTAAAATGAAAAATGAAATATATCACTTTCCTGCTTGAATATCTTTCAGAGGCTTCTAAATGCTCTTAATTATGTTCAGACTCTGTATCTTGGCTCTTCAATCACTTTGGTCCCTGCTGACCTCCTTAGTGTCATCTCTTGTCATTCTTTTCTTACCATATATACACCAACTATACTGGGCTTCTTTTAGTTCTTGATTGTGCCATCCATTTTATCTCCAAGCCTGGCCTGGAATACTCTACTCCTTTGGCTGAAAGCTTCTGGAAAGCCTTATGCACATTATATTGAGGTGTCCCTATCCTGTATTCCATGTGGTCTTGCTATTAAAACATTTATTAAGCCCTAACCAGTTTGGCTTAGTGGATAGAGCATCGGCCTGTGGACTGAAGGGTCCCAGGTTTGATTCTGGTCAAGGGCATGTACCTTGGTTGCAGGCATATCCCCAGTGGGAGGTGTGCAGGAGGCAGCTGATCGATGTTTCTCTCTCATCCATGTTTCTTTTATGTATGTGTGTGTGTGTGTGTGTGTGTATATACATATACATATATATATGTGTATATATACATATATATATGTGTATATATACATATATATATATATGTGTATATATACATATATATATATATATATTTCTTTATTGATTTCAGAGAGGAAGGGAGAAGGAGAGAGAGATAGAAACATCAATGATGAGAGAGAATCATTGATTGGCTGCCTCCTGCACACCCTCCACTGGGGATTGAGCCCGCAACCCAGGCATGTGCCCTTGGCCGGAATCAAACCTGGGACCCTTCAGTCCACAGGCTGACGCTCTATCCACTGAGCCAAGCCGGCTAGGCCCTCATCGATGATTCTGACTATCTCTCTCCCTCTATGTAAAAAATTAATGAAATACATTTTTAAAAAAACAAAAAACATTTATTAATTTCATTATACTTTCTTGCCTGTCTTCTTCATTTAACTGTAATCTCCACGAAGGCAAGGACTTTATCTTACTGCTATATTCCCAAAACATAGCATAATGTCTGGTACATAGCATATACAATCTCTATATTCAGATATAGAGATTCTGAATTCCATTATTTTGCAATGGCTATGTTATTTTTGTTTTAACAGGCAGTTTACTTGTTTGGATATGAATTGTGAACTCTTTTTCTTGGGTGCTGATTCACTCTCAATTCAGATCTTTGCCTTTAGCTGAGCTGCTTTGACTTTATTCTATACACTAGAGGCCCGTTGCACAAAAATTTGTGCACTCAGGGGATTCCTCAGCTCGGCCTATGCCCTCTTGCAGTGTGGGACCTCTCGGAGGATGTCCACCCCAGTGGGGACCCTCACGCCATGGAGGTTTTGCCAGCCTGTGTGAGGGGCTGATGGCTGTTTACAGGCTGGCCACACCCCCTTCAGGGTGGGGGGGTCCCCACTTGGGTGCCTGGCCAGTCTGGGTGAGGGGCTGAGGGCCGTTTTCAGGCTGGCGAAGCACCCTGGTGACGTAAGCTCCTAGCCTCTCCTTTTTTTCTTTTTTTTTTTTATTCTGGGATTTATTTACCTTCTATAATTGAAACTTTGTTGCCTTTAGCGGAGGCCTGTGGAAAGCTTGGCTGCCTCCATCACCAGGGGCAACCCACTCCTGCTAGCTCCAGCTCTGTGGCCACAGCTGGCTGAAAGCAGGTATCTGGGGTTTATTTACCTTCTATAATTGAAACTTTGTTGCTTTCAGTGGAGCTCAGAGCCGGGCTGCGGCAGGTGGGGAAACTTGGCTTCCTCCATCACTGGAGCAAGGAAGCCTCCTGCTCGCTCCAGCTCCGTGGCTGCTGGCCGCCATCTTGGTTGTGTTAATTTGCATATAGTCGCTCTGATTGGCTGGTTGGCGTGGCCTAAGGCATAGTGAAAGTACGGTCAATTTGCATGATTGTCTCTTATTTGTATAGGATGTGGATGGAGATTATCAGTCAGAAATGTGGCTAGAAAGAATTTGGGATCTCTTCTCTGACTCTTTTCCTTAGGAAAATTTTTCCCCACTCTCTTCAGCAGCCATGGTTCTGTGGCTGAAGTTTTCTGGTTCCTTTGACCAAGGAGAACTTTGTTTTCCACCAGGTTTTACTTAGCCCCAAAATAAAAGTTCTAATATTGATGAACTTAAAACTTCTTTTACAAACTAGTAGTCCTTTCCTTTGAGTGTGTACTCCGCCATGAGAGTTGATCTGTTTCTTCTACACTCTGCCTTGCTTTTTGTAATTTGCCTGGGTTTTATAATTGTATTCTGTGGAGAATCCTCTGATAACTGGATTGTATTACTAACTAGAGGCCCAGTGCATGAAAACTCTTGCACTGGAGGGGGTGGTCCCTCAGCCCGGCCTGCCCCCTCTCATATTCCAGGAGCCCTCCAAGGTGGGAGGTGACCCGGCTATCAGGGGAAGGTGATGCCCCTATCACACTTCTGCTTCTGCCACTGCCGGCAGCGCAAGCCTTGGCCAGCCCTGGTTACCTGAGCCTTGGGCGGCCATTCGAGGCTTACCTGTGCCTCGGGCATTGGCTGGGCAGCTGCCATTCAAGGCTTGCCTGTGCTTCGGGCTGGTCCTGGGCAGCTGGGGGACTGAGGGGACTGAGGGACTCCAGAGACAGGTGCCTGCCTGCTGCCCCAGTGGGGCTGAGGGGACTGGGCACTGTCATTTTGTGGCTGTGGGTGCCACCATCTTTGAGGGTGTGGTAGTCAATTAGCATATTCCCTCTTTATTGGCTGTAGGCGCTGCCATCCTGTGAGGGTGTGACGGTCAATTAGCATATTCCCTCTTTATTAGATAGATGGTGTAAAAGCTATTACAATGGGTTTTATGAATGAATGACAAAATGTTTGGTCATTTTTTATGCTTTAAAATTCTTTATTGTTATTAAAATATAAAGAAAAGCTCACAAAATATAAAAGCACAATTTAATAAATAATTATAAAGCGAGCACTTTTGTGGCATATGGCCCCATCCAAGGCAACAAATAGAATTTTGCCAGCACTCCAGAAGCACTCAACCTACCATTCTCCCCCAACTTCTCTTTTCCCTAGGTAACTGTTACCCTCACCTTTTGTTTATTTAAACTACTAGGGGCTCAGTGCACAAATTCGTGCACCTCAAAAGGAACTGAGGGCCACAAGGCTGTGGTGGGCACAGGGGCAGGTCTTGGCCCATCCTCTGCGCCCCCGCATGGTCTCTCCTGCTGGGGCCCTGGTTCCCTGTCTACCAGCAGCCCTGCTCCCGTGGCTGCCGTTCCCACACACTGACGGTCCTAGCCCAGCTTGCACCCTCTGACGGCGTGGAGCGATTGGGGCCATTGCCAGCAGTGGGTGCGAGTGTTACTGGTGCCGACAGTGGGTGCTAGTGGTGCTGCTGCCCTGATCGCCTGGGGGAGGTGGAGAAGCCCTCAGGGGCGTTCAAGGCCGGCAGCTGCTGCTCGCACCTGCTGACAGTGCCAAGCAATCAGGACCAGCGCCACATACAGGCTGTGGGTGCGAGTGGGGCCAGCGGTGGCAGTGGGTGTGAGTTGCAGCTCCGGTTCCAGCAGCGGGTGCGAGTGGGGCCGTTGCTGGCAGCAGGTGCGAGAGGCGGCTACTGGCCCCGATCACCCCTCAGGTGCAGGAAGAGGTGAAGAAGCCCTGAGGGGTGATTGGGGCTGACAGCTGCTGCTCTCAACCACTGACAGTGCCGAGTGATCAGGGCCAGTGCCCGGTGTCATCAGTAGGACTGCAATGCACAGGAGCAAAGAATTTTCAGTAACCACCAGAGGCTCACCCCCATGACAGCGACTGGCGCCCCACTGTGGTCTGGCGCCCCACTGTGGTCTGTCGCCCCCGCTAACCTGTTCCACCATCCCACCGCAGCTGATGCCTGCCATGTTCCGCGCTCTGCCGCCTGATGCCGACAACCACCATGTTCTGCAC